TACACAGTGGATAGATTGGGAAGTGGACAGTGGCCACGCAGATGTGTCCTACAAGAGACTCATAATCAAGGTAGCCGTGTGGAGGCTAGTTGCCAAGCTAACCGAGTAGAACTACTGAAACAATACCTGTTAGTGGGTTCACAAAGTAAACACTTTGTTGCACATAAAGTGAAGCGAGCGGTTGAAGTTGCCAAATGTTTTAAGATCAGGCTTGTGAGCATTTCTTTTAACCCCTCGTGGCTGTTTGGTTCGAACATATTTGTTTCCCTCCTTATTTGCTATTTGCACAGATGGGCTTTTGTTTCCACAGACGTTTGGAGAATGGCTGTTTATAGAATCATAGGAATGGAAAGAACCTCAAGAGCTCATCAGGTCCAATCCTCTGCATTCAAGACAGGAACAAGCACCATCTAGATCATCCCTGACAGATGTTCATCTAACCTGCTCTTAAAAATCTCCAATGATGCAGATTCCACAACCTCCCTAGGCAATTTATCCCAGTGGTTAACTACCCTGACAGTTAGGGCATTTTTCCTGTTGTCCAACCTGAACCTCATTTATTTCAGTTTAAGCCCATTGCTTCTTGTTTTATCATCAGAGGTTAAGGAGAATAATTTTTCACCCTCCTCCTTATAAAAGCCTCTTAGACACTTGTAAGTTGTTATGATGTGGCCTCTCTGTCGTCTCTTTTCCTGACTAAACAATCCCAGTTCTTTCAGTCTTCCCTCATAGGTCATGTTTTTTAGACCTTTAATTATTTTAGTTGCTCTTCTCTGGATTTTCTCTAATTTCGCCACATCTTTCCTGAAATGTGGTGCCCAGAAATGGACACAATACTCACGTTGAAGCCTAATCAACACGGATTAGCAGCAGAAGAATTACTTCTCGTGTCTTGCTTATAACACTCTTGCTAATACAGTCCAGAATGATGTTTGGATTTTTTGCAACACTGTTACGTTGTTGACTAATATGTAGTTTGACTCCTCAATCCCTTTCTGCATTATTCCTTCCTAGGCAGTCATTTCCCATTCTGTATGTGTGCAATTCAACTGTCCCTAGCTTCTGAACTGGGGAGCGCAGGCTGCAGGACATGCCTGTGGGGCAGCGTTCCCTCTCAGATTTCCCATCCATGAGCCGAGTGAGTTTTGTCTTATGCGCCAATAATGAGGTGATGTGAGTCTGTTTGGATGGGTGCCACTGTGGCACCCATCAGTGGAGCTCCCTCAGAGACTCTCCCAGTGCAGAGACCCTAAGCACTGCTCCCAGGTAGCACTCCCCACATCATGGGGAGAAGCTGAGAGGTGTCCCCAACCCCACTTCCCCCTCCGGGGCTGCTCCTTGTGGGAAGGAAGGTGACGCCAATACCCAGGGTTTGCAGGGAGTGAGGTGCTGGGGACGGGGCAGTAATGTGCAGGGGGGAGCCAGCAGAGTGCTTGAGGGAGAGGGGGCTCTGAGAGGGGAAGAGAGGTGCGGGAAAGGGGAAGAGGGATGCAGGGGGCCCCAGCCCCAGGAGAAGCCGCACCACAGCCCAGCTCCAATCCAGGCCTCGGGAGCAGCTGCTACACAGCAGCCCGGTTCCAGCTTCAGCAGTGCCCTCTCCACCACCACCATGTGGCCTGCCCAGGGAGCAGCCAGACAGCCACCATGCAGCCTTGACCACAACTCCAGCTCTGGGGAAGGGCTGGAGCAGACCCCTGGAGCAGCCCCAGACCCCAGCTGGAGCAGCGCCAGCCCCCGCTGCTGCCCTCCAGGTGGTCCCAGCCCTCACAACAGCTGCTGGAGCAGCCCCCTGCCGAGCAGACCAAGCTGCCTGCCACACAGCACCGGCCACTGGAGTAACCCCGTCCGCAGGAGCAGCCCTGGCCCCTGCCAGCAGAGCAGCCCCAATACCTGACCCCACAGACCGAGCAGCCCCCTGCCGCAGCTGCCTGCTCCGAGGTTCCAGCAGCTGGGCAGCCACCATGCAACCCTGGTCATAGCTCCAACCCTAAAAGGCTGGAGCTACGGCCAGGGCTGCATGGTGGTTGTCTCACTGCATCACCAGCACCTTACCTTCCAGGAGGTGGGTGGGCTTCAAATTCTTTGTGTGCACCCGCGCAGGCGCGCACCTCTGTGGGGGACTCGTTCTGTGCTGAGGATACCACTTTGCACCCTGCCCCCACGGCTCCAGCTGGCTGAGGCAGGGTCCAGTTGGAGACAAGCGGCAAACCTCCTTCTCCTTCCTTGCCCCACGTATTGCATCCAGCAGCCTTACCCGCAGTGCTGATGCCCTTGCAAGAGCCTAGGGCCGTTCCAATGCTGGTGTCGGTAGCTCTCCCATTGGTAAAGTGCTGGGTAACACAACTTTTACTGTACAGGGTGGCAGGCCCAGAGAACAACTAGAGTTGTGCCCACTCTTTTCCTGTTGAAGGAAGAAAACCCTTCATTTAAATGTCTCAGGCAGTTCTTCCTTCCTAATTTACTTCCTATGCAGATAACAACTATGAATCACACTGGTAAAAGGACAAAGTTGGATCACCCAGTCCGTCAAATTGCAACACAACAAAACAAAAACAACAAACTACACCCCCCATTTAAATAAATGCCCGTAAGTCTCTCTCTAAATATATATTATAGAGAGTTTGTGCATCTGTCTGTCTGTGAGTCTGTTTGTCCAAGAACTCCTCCTAAACAGTAAGAGTTAGGACCACCACATTTGCTGTGCCGATTCTACCTTAAAGCAAGGTTGGGGTTTGGTTGTACCAGGAAAATGGGAAGTGCCTGGACTGGGAATATTTTCCAGAATATGGAAAGGGAGAGGGCAGAGAGGAGGGATGCTATACAGCGCAGTGGCCACAGGGGGCAGCGAGTATGGGGAGACAGCTACATTGCAGAGTGACCACTGGGGATAGTTGTACCAGAAGAGGGGCCACTTGGGGTCAGGACTCTGCATATCACCAGACAAGTCAGTGCCCCTCTGCTCCAAAAGTGCTGCCAACCAGCCCCCCTGCCTCTGACCCTCAGGGACCATCCTGGAGCTGGGAAGCACAGTCCCCAGAGCTTTGCCCTACCATGGACAGGCTATAGGTGGGAGGAGGGGGAGAGGATGGCACTGGAGGTCAGGACCAGCCCCTGGAGCACTGCCCCCTGCTGGGCAGGCTGCAGGGCTGCGGGTGCAGCTGGAGACTGGGACTGTCCATGGAGTGCCTTTCTACCCTGTGGACAGGCTGTAGGCCAGGGTGTGTGTGGAGTCTTGTCCCCCACTCTCCCTGGACCAGCGCAGCTGGGGGTTGGGGCTGACCCCTGAAACCTTCCTGTGCCCCCCGAACCAGCTTCAGGGCAGAAGGAAGGGCAGTCTGGGACCTGCCCCCGGAGCACCTCCTCCAGACCAGCTGCCTCATGGGGGATTTGAGAAAGGATTGCTTTGAACATGGGCAACTATATATGTGTTGCTACATCGAAAGTGGGAAATGCACAAAGCCTGTTTATTCTAGTGAAAGACAAAAAATCTCCAAATATTGTCTCCCAATAAACTCTATCTAATGTTTGAATCCCTTTCCGTCTTTTATTAATACAAACTTTTTTCTTCCTTTTTAAAAATTACAATCATATAACTAAAGCATGCACATTTTCCTTTTATTTTCCAACCCCTCTACTCCTGCAAATCCATTAAAGACCCGAGTAATGCTGGGTAAATCTGCCAGTTTCCTGATAAAACAGCAGAACAACTTGTTCCTTTGCTGCAACACAGCTCAGCTTCTGCAAGGTCATGCTGGTCAATAACTTTCACTGGGGAAACAGTATGGTCACCCCCAAGTGTTCAAAAATCATGAGTGAGGTGCCCAAGGCTATGTCTAGACTGCAAGCCTCTTTCGAAAGAGGCTCTTTCGAAAGATACTTTCGAAAGAGAGCGTCTAGACTGCACGTTGAACTTTCGAAAAAGCGGCTTGCTTTTTCGAAAGAAAGCATCCAGTGAGTCTGGATGCTCTCTTTCGAAGAAGCCCTATTTACATTCAAGAACGCCTTCTTTCGAAAGAGGAACTTTCGAAAGAAGGCGTTCTTCCTCGTAAATTGAGGTTTACCGCCATCGAAAGAAAAGCCGCGTTCTTTCGATTTAATTTCGAAAGAACGCGGCTGCAGTCTAGGCTACTTTTTTCGAAAAAACCCCTGAGTCTGGACACAGCCCAACAGCATAGGACTGGCTTAAAAATCATCAGTTGTTTTTAAAGTGGTTCTTGGGCTGTGGCTTTTGACTCTTTTGGGAGTTATCAAATCACATTCTCAAGCCTTCCTCCAGAACCACAAGGTCCAGAAACATTTTTAGTTTAAATGGAAACTGAGGTTATCATGTATGTCCATGGTTCACTAGAGCTGGGGCTTTGTGAAAACTGCCCAATGTCATGATGAGAGTTGGCACCACTAGCTGCTTCTAGGGCTTGTATTTGTTTATAACCCTTCAGTTCTCCAGTCAGAGAATGGGAACAACACCATGTCAGTGTTGCACGCAATCAGATGTCACAAATAATGACACAGAAGGCATTCTCAAGCCTTTCTGCAGCAGAGCCCGCAAATCAGAGGCAACATCTAAATTCCATCCTCGCTAAACCTGTCGCTCCAAACTGCAAACTGAGCCCAGTTTCAAAGCTCTTTGCACATGCAGTCCTGTGGTTTCACATGCCTCCATTTGTCTCTGTACGAAATTACCTACTTGATCCATGTACACTTATTTTGCATGCACTCTCCAGTAGCTTATTTTGGACAATTTGGCCTTTTAATTCCACAGGTTTTGGTTTTGTATTTAGTGAAACCAGGCTGAGCAAAGTGAAAGCTCAAGCCATGACTATTAACAATAATAAAACAACCCGTCATGGCTCTTGACATTTTAATTTTTTAATTTAGCCCCTCCCCCTTTTGGTGAATGTCTTATATCTGCGGGTATCAAGAAAACAATGGAACAAGGATGCAGAAAGAAGTAATCAGATGCATGACATGAAATATCAACTGCCTCATTTTCTTATTAGAGGGCTGCAGTTTAGCTGGCAGAGTGGAGAGGAATTGGCAAATTGGACCGGGACCTTTAATTTCACGGATGATGGAGCACTGAAGAGTGGCAGTGACACAGGCACCAGGTACCAACACACAAGAGAATGACTGGGGAGGGGAGAACGCCACTTGATGTAGATCTCTTTGGACAAAGTGTGTGTGTGGGGAGGGGGAGGTCTCTGCATATATAACAGGGGCTGGATTCACCAGGCCACTCCGGGTGTTGCTGGTGATGCAAGGCAGCCAGAGCATAGTGATGAATCTAGCCCTCCATATTTATGCATAAATTGTAATTCCCTATAGTAGAATTGTGAGGGTGCCTAATAGACAAACAGTCATTCTGCCAAGATGTTACTGTTCCCTTTATTTGACTCTATTTTGAAAATTCTTTTTTCCTTAAAGAAACCCCAGTTGAAATCCCCAAAAGATTTACCCTAGAGGTGCTGTTTTAACTTTTACAGAAGACATGCTAGTGCCCTATTTTGCTCCCATTGTGTTCTAGTTGTTTGCTAAAACCAATCCGAAAGACAAGTCGACATTATAAAATGATTTCATCAATTTGGGCTCCAGCTCTGCTTTCAGGTTCACATGGAGCAACCCGTATGCCCATGCAGAGCCCCTTGGATGCACCTGCTCAGACTCAGTTGCAGGACTGGAGTCAATGTTGTGTGTGTCCTCATGGGAATGTGGTCTGTGTCATTCTCCCCACCCTCAGAAGTGGGCCGTATAAGAGATGAATGACCCAGCGAGAGACCTTAGTTATTTAGCTCAAGCAATCAAGGTTTATGTATGTAGTGCTGTTGGGCTTGTATGGTTATACAGATAGGCTGTGTCTAGACTGGCCAGTTTTTCCGGAAAATCAGCCGCTTTTCCGGAAAAACTTGCCAGCTGTCTACACTGGCCACTTGAATTTCCGCAAAAGCACTGACGATCTCATGTAAGATTGTCAGTGTTCTTGCGGAAATACTATGCTGCTCCCATTCGGGCAAAAGTCCTTTTGCGCAAAACTTTTGCGCAAAAGGGCCAGTGTAGACAGCACAGATTTGTTTTCCGCAAAAAAGCCCCGATCGTGAAAATGGCAATCAGGGCTTTTTTGCGAAAAAGTGCATCTAGATTGGCACAGACGCTTTTCCGCAAAAAGTGCTTTTGCAGAAAAGCGTCCGTGCCAATCTAGATGCTCTTTTCTGAAAATGCTTTTAACGGAAAAACTTTTCCGTTAAAAGCATTTCCGGAAAATCATGCCAGTCTAGACGTAGCCATGGTGACTCTATTGACTGCAAAGGGAATTAAGGCTGCTGAACATCTTGCAGCATCAGGTACAGTGTATAGATGGGATGCTCTTAGAAACACAGGTAAGTGAAAAATGTAATAACGATTAAAAAAGCCAAGCTTGCTCTATTTCCTGGGTATAAATGCATGGCTAAAGTGTCTGGATAAATTAAACTGTGTGTGAAATATCATCATAGAGTATTTCAGTAACTGTGCCCCACTACCACTAGGGAGCTGTCAGAATTTCAAAGGCAAACAGAAGTACAAGGGCTGGTCCGCCAAAATCATACAGTCACACTTAACCAACGCAGCTCTCCAATGCCTGTTAGGATCCCGGAGCTATCAGTGCTACCAGATGCTCGTTCTGTTTAGCTAGACAAGGGGGCCTTCTGAAGAGAACCCACACAACTGTATTTTTAGCCCATGGACTAAAATAGTTGATTGACATATTTTTAAATTTCATTTGTCGTATTGATCTTGTTTATATTTTCTGCATATATATTTAGAATCCACATACTCAAAGTCTTCAGTCTGGGCACTTGGCATAGGAGAAAAAGCATGAGACACAAAGAGATCTTCTTACTGATTATGATTAAAGGTAGTGATTTCCCTTGTCTGAGCACCCTTTATAACAGTGGTTCTTAACCTTACTGCAGCCTGCACCCCTTTGGTTATCAAAATATGTTTTCTCACCCCTTATTAAAAATCATTGAAGTAGGTCAGTTCTTTAAACCTAAGATATATCATAAAAATCTGGCATGTCTTGCATCCCCAGAAAGGTCATCTCGCACTGCCAGGGGGTGCATGCATCCCAGGTTAAGAACCACTGCTTTATAGATACAATTGGACTATCCCTTTTTGTGGGGTTGAAGAGCAAGAACTCTTGACTATGTTGTTCAAAGTATTTACAAAGAAAACAGGTTTGAGATTAAGAATCAGGATGTTGTTTTCAACCTGCTTATTCTCCCAAAAGTTCAGGAGTGTCTAGTTGAGATTAGTCTGTTATACAAAGAGGCTGTAAATGTGCAATTCAGATCTGGATTTCAAACCCCTCGGAAGTCCAGTGACAAGTGCCTGTGTGAATGTTCATTGAGTTGGGAGATTAGGATTTTGTGTTGTGGTTAAATTTCTCTCTTAATCTTAGACCCACATAATATATTACTGTAAATTGAAAATCAGAACCATATGAATGAAATACCTGGAGGAGAAACCATCTGGTGAATAGCAGAGCTATGTGATAATTGTATTTATCATTTCCCCTTTGACCTACCTCATTTGTCCTTTGGATAAATCCCTGGGAAGTGTAATGAACAAACACTCCAAAACTCTGAGCATCTTTAAACTGCTGATATTTTATTTAAAAATGTCTTCCACAACAACAATTCATTCTTTCTACCAAGTATGGAACTTGTGTTACCAGATTTGCCCAATACTCTTGGATATGCTCATTTATTAGGGTTACTATTATGGGGCTGGGGCGAGGTAAATCTGTAAGGGGACTGTTAGCCCCTTACTAAAACTCTGTGGGAGTTTTTGGTTTGCCAGCTCCCAGTATCAAAAGGGGAAGGATTCATGAGAAATCAGGGCCCTGAGACTGACAGACACCCAGAGACAATGGAAAGCAGCCAACACTCCAGCTCAACCTGATTGGCAGGTTGGACAGGGCAGTGAGGAAAGCAAGAGGCCAGGCCCCATCCCCTCTGTGAGCTGGGATTGTTCTGGGTCTCTCTGAGCAAGGAGAGAGCTGAGAGACAGCTAAGAGCAGTGCAAGCTGTGTGCAGAAGAAGTTCTGCAGCAACAGAGCCAGACAGACAGCCCAAGGAGTGCAAGCTGTGTGGAGAGGCAGTTTTGCAGCAACAGAGCCAGGCACACACAGCTCAAGGAGCGCAGACCCTGTGTTGAGCAGCAGACTGGCAGTGCTCAGAGAAGCCAAAAGGGACAGAGAAGCAACGCAAGGAGCTGGAGACTGGCAAGGCAGCACAGCCTACAGCTGGGTGTGGTGAGCAGCTGGGACCAGCAAAGTGTGGGGAGAGGCTCTGGGCAGGGAGATATCACCAGCCAAGAGGCCCAGCAGGCCAGACTGGGAGAGGGGTCTGGCCACTTAGAGCTTGAGGCTGTGTGGTCACTGCCAGAGCAAGCGTGTCCAGCCTGCAGCCCCCCTGCAGCACATCCAGGGCCTCTAAGGGGCCTATAAGGAAGAGACTGTGAACTGTCCTTACACTCTGCAGGCTGCTGTTTTGATGTCCCCGTGCTACAGGGCAGGGCTGAGTGTTCTCATTTAACCATTCTCATTTTTTCCTTATTCTTTTCTCTTTAATCAGTTGATGTTTAATAAATTGTATTTGCTTAGAACCTTATGAAATGATCACCGGGCCAAGAAAGCCTGCAGTGTAAAGAGAGCACCTCGGAGTGGGGACACCCTAACTCCTGCCCCTAATGACTACAAGGTCGGGGATTAAGCCCCAGGAAACCTGGGCCCAGCCTTGTTGGGGTTTCGAGGACTCTGCTACTCAGGAGAGAGGAGGGGGAGCCCTCAGGATCAGGGAGGCTGTAGGATAAAGGAAGTGGGAGTGGGGACTCAGATCCTTTCGCTGGTCCATTTCACCGGGGTGGTATAGAAGCCAGGAAAGTTCTCCACAATAGCAGGACCATTCCCCCGCTTACATATCAGCATGCTGCTTGTGCTTTCTTGTGCTCTCATATGGAGCTGAATTCTCCCTGCTGCCAATTCCCGCTCCCACTGGAGTTCTGCAGGAACTAGGTTCCTCAGGATGGGGTTCTTCCCACATCAGCAACACACGCAGACATTCACACCCAGTAACAGAGCAAGTCTGAGAGGACTGGGTACTCAGCACTCACAAGCTGACCTCTCATACGTCCCTGGATTCAGCAGGCTGGGTTAACAGCAATGCCACACTGCACCCTCATGAGCCGTTGGACTCACTGGGCTGGATTAAACAGCACTTTAAGCTGCCATCCTCATAAGCCCCCAGGTTCAGACCCCCTTGTCCCCACTTTCACACCACAATCATTCACTGGTAAACCGCACGATGAGCAACCCCCCAAGATTTTGGGCACTACAGGGATCATTAGCTTGGGTACAAGAAACGTTGTTACAGAGCGAATGGGAAGCCAAAACCACACCCCTTGAGCAGGGCCGGCCCGAGCCCTTTTGGCGCCCTGGGCCCGGGCGTGCGGCGCCGCCCCCGGGTGCAGGGCACATGTGCAGGCCCGCCCGTGCGCGCAGAGCCGGGTGGGCCGAGAGCCGGGGGTGGGGCCCGCACGGCCGCTGGCGCACAGCCCTGGGCCTGCCCCCGGGGCTCACAGTGTATGCGCTGCCCAGCCCGGCCCAGCCAGCGCTGCTGGTGCACGTGCCACGCCGTGCAGGGCCCCACAGCCGTGGGGGCAAAAGCACTGCTGTCTGGTGCCACAGGGCTGGCGCTGGGGGAGCCGGGTGCGCGGCTCCTGATGGCAGCTGTAAGGGACGCTGCACACTCCTTACAGCTGCTATCAGGCGCCCGCCCATGGGTTGGCACTCTGGGCAACTGCCTGGCTCGCCCATGCCTCCGTCCGGTCTTGCCCTTGAGGAGGAGTGAGTGAAAGAGAAAGAAAAAGAGAGAGAAGCAACCAGCTTAACAATGAAAGGGGAGCCGGGTGCGCGGCTCCTGATGGCAGCTGTAAGGGACGCTGCACACTCCTTACAGCTGCTATCAGGCGCCCGCCCATGGGTTGGCACTCTGGGCAACTGCCTGGCTCGCCCATGCCTCCGTCCGGTCTTGCCCTTGAGGAGGAGTGAGTGAAAGAGAAAGAAAAAGAG